AGGAGTGCCGCATCGCCCACCCCATCGTGAAGTGCACCTACTGCCGCTCGGAGTTCCAGCAGGAGAGGTACGGGCGGGAGCAGCGCCGGGGTCGGGGGGTGGATTCCCGCCGGATGAGCTCTCCCCGCCCGCGCTGCTCCCGCGGCGTGGGCCGGCGGTGTGCGTGTGTTTGTTGGTCGGTACTGGCACGGGAAAGGATGCCGAGGTGTGTGCGCGTGTGTTTGCCGCTCAATTCAACCCTGTGCCGTTTTGTCTTTAGCAAAACCAACACGATATGCAAGAAATGTGCCCAAAACGTGAAGCAGTTCGGAACGGTGAGTAGGCTCTGGGTTCTTGGTGCCGAGCATTCGTTCATGTTTCAAATTCGAGGGGGGAGAAAAACCCCCCAAACTTCTCTTGTAACTAATCTTATTTTCTTTTGGGTAAAAAGAACCCCAAGCAACCCCAAAGATTGTCATTCAGAAAGGTGATGGAAATGACTGACAGCTCGTGATTTCCTCTTGATTATGGTTTGTTTGGTTGGTTTAATTTTTCAAATTGAAATCCAGTGGGGTTCTATATAGCTCAGCAGTTAAGAATAATCTCAGTGTAGCCATTTGTAGCAAAACAGTGTAATTTCACATCCTGTGTGTCAAGTGATTCCCCATGTGTTCTCATGAGCACACACCTGATGGCAGGGAGGACTCTTAGCTCTCTGTGTTCTTCATGAGTGGTAAATGTGCAAATCGAATAATGCCACGTACTTTATATTATGTAAGTCTTAAATTTTTAAATGCATGCTAATCATGTTAAGCTATTAAGTAGAAAAGGTTTTATGTGAGTATTAGCTGCCTTCGTGTTACTTCGTGTTTTCTCATATGGAATTTCGGCTCCAGTTCTGTTGGAAAAATGAATTTTTTGTTGTGTGAACTCACGTTGTGCCTGAGCTGTCCTGCAGATACGAGTTTAGAGAAGGTGTCACGATAATCTTGTTGTGAAACAAAAGGGCAGAGACTTCTGTGCACTTGACATAAACCACATTACACGCGATTCATTGAGAAACATAACAGCTGTTGGTGTGTAGTCAGGCACCTTGTGAATGTGAATGTAAACTGAACAAAGAAATACCTCCAAAAACTTAAAATGTAGCAAAACAAATCGCAGAACAGATCCAACAGAGGTTTGATCAATGGTTCACCAAAAACCAGAACTGCATGGAAGAGATAATGAGCCATCTCTAACCTGTGAGAACTGACAGCAATTTTACCTTCCAGCACTGTATTAGTCTAATCAAGCAAATGATATAAAAGTTGATAGCCTAACCTGGTGGCATCTAAAGTTTATTTAGGTTGGTGTTGGTTTTGGTTTTTAAGTTTCCTGCAGAATTACAGGGATCAGGATACTGATCCCTAAACTGTAGGGTTATCCAATCCCTGAGCTGTGCAAGGGACACTTCAGAAACTTCTAGTCTAAAAAATTTAGTTTATTATTCTTTTAAAAATGTTGTAATTTCTTTAGTCATGTAGTAAAACTGAGAGAAAATGTCACATTTAAAAATGTCATTAAACAAAAAGCAGCAGGTTTAGAGGTGAGCAATACCATTGTGTGTGCTCCTTTCATCAAGTATGCGCCTGGGTTTCCATGGAAAGTCCAGACTGGTTTTGATCATTGAAGGAGCATCATTTTAGGGGAAGAGTTTAGTACTGAAGATAGTAATGGTAGGAAAAAATGTTCTTTAAGATAGTTTCTATGAAGCCCTCGTAGTTTAGAAGCATCATCGTGTGGTTTGAAATACCTGTGTTCATTATAGAAACTGCAAATGTATTGACTTCAGCTCAACTTACCTTTTTTTTCAGCCGAAGCCTTGCCAGTATTGTAACATTATTGCAGCATTTATTGGCACGAAATGTCAGCGTTGCACCAACTCGGAGAAGAAGTATGGCCCTCCGCAGACGTGTGAGCAGTGCAAGCAGCAGTGTGCTTTCGATCGGAAAGAGGAGGGAAGAAGGAAGGTAGGCATTGTTTCACATCTGTGGTGGCTTAGGCTGACAGCAGACAATGTTCCTCCTTCATGAGAGAAAGATCAGCAGGGATGTATCTTAAGTTCACAAAGATTAAAGTTGCTGAGCTGTGCTTTACAATATTTGAATTACATTTTGCAACTTGCAGTTGCTGTGTTAGCTACTGAGCTGGCTTACTTCAAATTAAATCACTCCTAAAAATAAGCTTAAGCATAAGATGACAGTTGTAGCTGAGGAACAGAAGTTAAGCAGCTGAACAGTTCCTGGAGCTTTGATATTTATGTTATTTTTATTTTGCCATCCATTGGATCTTATGTATGTCCATAACTTGAATCTGTCGCTTTACCTCTTCTGATTTGCCTGCCTTGCCTTAAAGTACAGCACCAGAGGTAGACTGCTCTGAGCAGCCCTTTGTGTTCTGTTTTCTTAAATAGCTTTGGTGAGTGCCACTTTCTCATTCCAGAAGGTGCTGAGGAAATTACCTCAAAAGCCTCTTGCCTGAACCCAAGAATAATGCTGTTTTTACAGAAGAATTTACTTGATACAAGTAACACGTTGGCTGGACATCTTGAATCTGCCTGCAATACCATGGGTTGAGAGAGGTTACATGGTGTCTAAACTGAAAAAGATTTGTCTTTGTAACAAGTTATTGTAATTTCTGTGCCATAGAGCAAGTCCAACATTTGCTAACACTCTTTTAGAGTAACTTTAAGTGGCAAAAAGAAATGGAATAAGATTCACTTTGCTGAAAGATAGCGTGCATACGCTGGAAATACAGTAGTGATGTTTCATGCCAAAGAGATGTCTGTATTTTTCCCAAAGATAAGAGATAAATTGAAACAAATTTTTCTTGCATTTATTAAGTACGTCTTTCTAGCGCAAGTGTACCTGGAAATAAAACCCTGCTGTGAATTATTTCCCAAAAGGTTGATGGAAAGTTGCTGTGTTGGCTCTGCACACTGTCCTACAAGAGAGTGCTACAGAAGACAAAAGAACAGAGGAAGAGCCTAGGATCTTCACATTCTAACTCCTCATCCTCATCTCTTACTGAGAAAGACCAGCATCATTCAAAACACCACCACCATCACCACCACCACCACCACCGTCACAGCAGCAGTCATCATAAGTAAGTATTTCAAAGTTGCAGTTGGGAACTCTTCATCTTCTGTGTTGTGTTCATACTGAGATAAAATCAAAGTTAGTAAGAAATGCTGTTTAGAACATGGCATCAAAAGCAGTAGCAGAATGTTGTTTTTCCGTGGTCTCTCAAAATCCTTGTATTCTTGGATGAAGGGGGTTCAGCAGAAAGGAGGAATTCTTGGTGATCATCAGATTAGTTGATATTAAAACTGGTAGCAAGTCTAAAACAGAAGTCCATGGAATAGCTACAGAAACAAGTTACTTGTGGGTAAACTTGACCTTGACTTTCTAAGCAGTAATTGCTGTGTGATAACTGCTGTTTGTGCTGGTTTGAAAAGCAAACCGGTGAGAGACTCTGAATCAGAAGTACAATTTAATATGAACAACACAACAAAACAACACAAATGCAACAGTGCCAAAAAAAAAGTAACCTGACAGAGTCAGAAAATAACCTGACAGAGTCAGAAAGTAACCTGACACCCTGTCAGTCAGGGTGTAGTAGTAGTCCGATTAAATGGTGGCTGCAGTCCTCCTGGAGTGATGGGTTTGCTGGAGCAGTGATCCCGCAGATCCGGTTCTCTCCTGAAGGTCCAGCAGCAGCTCTTGTCCTCTGGGAATCCAGCAGGCAAAGGGCTACCTGTGCTGATCCAAACCCCAGCTTATATCCCTGTGAGCATGTTTGGCTCCCTGGGGTGAAGTCACCTCACCATGGGACAAGGGGATAAGGATCACTGGGAGGATGTGCCATGCATGGGTCCTTGACAGCCCGTTAATCAGAGACAGCCCCTGAGGGAGCCATCAGGATTGCCCTGAGGGAGGGACAAGGTGATAACGATCACTGCCCCACCTGCTTTAACAGCTTGTGGAGATGATAATAGAATACATACCATGGATACCCCCCACACTGCAACCCAGGACACTGTTTTACATGCATTGGCCATGGGTTAACAGGTATGTATTGGCAGTGAGCACAGAACAGCTGCTTCTTTCATAATCCCCACCCTGACTTGTTTGTGCACAAATCCTCACAGTTAAATGGAGAAGCAGAAGCAATGGTGTGGGATTACACACAGTCTAGGGCCAGTTTGTATCTCTTTGCTAGTGTTTATAATCAAAACTTGCTGGAATAGACAGTTTGTACATGGCTGTGATACAGACATAGGGACAAAAACTGTCAGTTCAGTTACTGGCACTCTGGTAACATTTTCCACAGTTTTGTGCCTCCTTCTGCAGCTTTTATCAATATGTCATCTCTGGCTGTGGCATAAACAGCCTACCAATCTTAATGTACATACCCAATTTATTGAGTCATAAAACCCAGAATTCATTGGGGGTTTTATGCTGGTATAATAGTAGTAACAATTCTTATTTTCCTTGATAGGCTTGTGGCAGCATAACTTTAGAACTACTTATTTTTTTTGTGTTGGATAATAAATGCTATGGCTGCATTGGTAATGACCTTGATCACAGACACACAGACACTTCCATTATGAGGTTCACATTTCTAGTGCTTAGAATTTTTCATCTTGACTGAAACTTCCAGCAAAATAAGCTGGAATGATATTGGGAATGAGGAAAAGAGAAATGCACGTACTTTCACTTTAAAAAAGAGAAAAATGAGATTTGGAAGTTTAGGCATTTGAAGAAGAAAATTATTCTTGTCATGCAGAGTTATTTTACTGTTCCTGTACTTTCAAATCTCTCCTGAAAATTGAGTTACAGTAAGTTAAATCCAATTTAATGCATATGGCACAGGTATAGTAAGGATTAAATAAAAAAAGCTAACTCATTGCTACAGAATAGAGCTTCTGATATACTCAAGAGTTATAAGAGTAAACATATCTCTATAAAGATCATAATGCTCCTGGTTTCCCACCTTTTTTTCTGTAGGCTGCCATAGGTCCATTGCTTCTAGTCCAATCAATACAGTTCTTCTTCCCTGTCAATTTCAGTTATTACTAAATCAGACAGTAGAGACAATGAGGTAGCAATTCAGTTTCTCTGAACTATTTCCCTCAGTGCAATCTTCTACATTCTACCATTCCTATCTCAATGGTGTTTATTAGTTGCTTTCAAAATGAATGAAAGCAAATGGTTACACCTGAGAGCAGTTATTTTCAGGGATCCGGAACTTAACTTTGTTCTCATGCCACGACATGAGCAGCACTTCAGGCAATGTTCATGTGGCAGCATGAGAATCCCAGGAGTGCTGCTTTAGACCAGCTTCCTGACTATGAGATGAGCAACACAAAGATCACAAAACCCAGTGGACACCAGCAAAAAGATTTAGCATTCAGTCCTGAAGACTACTCCTTGTGCCTTATCATAGTGTAGATATGCAAATAGTTTTATAGCATCCTGAGACAGTAAAGCATGGTCAGGAGTATGACAGATAATATCAATGGTCAGCTGAAAATTCATGAATGTTCACTTTCTTTATTGGGAAAAAAAAAAGGTACAAACTCAATTCACATAAACTTGGCATGTTTGGTCACTTACCATGTACATTTCATGTATTTCAGAATCAGCAATCTGAGTCCAGAACAAGATCAGGGACTGTGGAAACAGAGGTAAATATGATATTATTCATTAATTTAGTTTTAATTTATCCTTCTGGTTTTATTTAAAGAATTTATTTTTTTTGTATTTCTGGCTAGTCTCTAGCATTCCAGCTAGGAGCATGAGTTAGTTATTTTACATGTACCAAATGGTGATATTAGAGGATTACATAGTATGAGGCTTTAGGTTTACATTTTGTTTGATTTCAGCCATAAATCCTCTGCAGCTATTCAGAATGAAACTCCAAAGAAAAAACCCAAACTGGAATCCAAGCCATCAAATGGAGATAGGTAAAGTTATATTTTTGTAAAGCTGAGCCATTTCAACCAAACAAAGCCATAATTTGTGGCCAGTTCTTTTTGTGGTTTTTTTTTCTTAATTTTTTTTTTTTCTGAAAAATGAGGGAGGTGAAACTATTGTCTAGCCAGATGGTTTATTGGGTGGCATCTGCGTGCTGTCAGTCAATTAAATTACTTTAATTTGGCCCCAAACAGCTTAAAAGCAGGAAAGCAGTGCTGGTTTTATGCTAATAAACAAAGTTTGTGCACACAGCAACAGTTATCAGGAAAACAATATTCCCTGACATTGGTGTTCTATCATTAACCGCAGTGTTGAACCTGCTCCTTTAAGCTGATCTAGAGAATTCTTTTCAACCTCAGTGTGGGAGACTGAATCTTTATTCTGTCTCTGGCCAAAGAGTTGGAATAAAAGTTAAAAGTGGCTGCTTCAGTCAAAAGGTATTTGTCCCCCTCAAAGCTAATACTGAATTATATTTCTGCAGGTGTATGTAATGTGTGCCATTAGTAAGGTAATTTGCCAGTTGCATCCGTTTCTGTCAGGTACATACTTTTCTTGCATTAGTCCTTAAGGATGTTTGTGGAATTATTAATTATCCAATTTGAAATTAAAAAGAAAGAACCTGTTGGGGTTTTTTTCCTACTGATGTCATAAGTAACTATTGTTTTTATTTTTAGTAGCTCTATAAATCAGTCTGCAGACAGTGGAGGAACTGACAACTTTGTTCTCATAAGTCAGCTGAAAGAGGAAGTAATGTCGCTGAAACGTCTTTTGCAGCAAAGAGATCAGACTATTTTAGAGAAAGATAAAAAGGTAAAAGTTGCACCTGCTTAAAAAGAGATTTATAATTTTGTTTTATATTTTGTAGATTTCTAACAATGTCAAAACAGTGAGGTAAAACAAAAATCAGATACAATTGTTTCATGTAGCAGCTAATCAGATCTTACCATTTAAAGGACAAGTTTGGGACTTCGGTATCATGAATATATTATGGCTCTAAGTCAGAGAAATTCATCTTACCTCACTTCAGCCATCTAGAATTTAGCCTGTTACTCAGGTGATGGATAAAATGCCAGTGGTTTGCATGTTTTACATATTCTAAACTGTGTCATGACAAAGAGTAGTAACCATTCTGAGTTTTGCATGGTTTTTATTCAGTTTTAAAATAAAGCAGCTATAGCCATAATTAATGAGTCGATGCCCCTGCATGTATAGTGTATGAAAACTAAATGGATCTTTGTGGATGGTCAGAGACTAGAAGAAAAGCTTAGATTAAATGCCTGTCAGTCAGCAAAAGTTATATGAAATAGGCCAAAATGGCTGCAGTGAAACTCTTAGAAGAGATTCACCCTTCAAACAGACTAATGACTAACAAGAAAAGAAAATTACCTACAAGCACTCACTTTGCTTTGTATTTATTAGAGCTTATTTCTCTGCCATCTAATTAGCTAGATGATTTTAAGATGCTGTAACAGTGGCTCTAAAACATCTGTTCAGGATTGAGTAGGTTATGGAACAGTATGAAAAATAAATTTGCTATATTTTCAAGTAAAATCTTTATTATCAATGCATGGTGGCATGTCAGAACGTTGATAGTTAAGAAAGAGTTGTTCATCCTGAAGGGAAAATGCCTCCACTTCTAAACCATACTTCTACACCTAAATGTGTTGTGTAAGGGGTATTGAACCTATTTTTATATGTGTCACTGTTACAATATACCTAGTGTTGGAAGTACTTGCTATTTCAAGCCTTTTGAGTGTTTAATGTGAAAGAGCTGAACAGTCTGTCATGGATTCTCTTTAGGTATTTTCTTCAAAGGTTGGACATTAGGCCCTGATCTCTCTTTTATAAAGCCAGGAGAAGATCATGGGTCAGTAGGAAATTCACTTACCTCTTTTTATTTTTAATTTACTGGGCAAAGCTAACCAAAGGGGTAGGAAAGGACATGTCACCTACTTCTGCATAACCACTGCAGTGACTTGTGTGCTGTTTCCACAGGGAGAGCATCTAATAATTTTAATATCTCCACTGCTAAAGCTATTTCTTTGACCTCAGAGTTCTTTGAACTTAAAGACTCTTTCAGGCATGAATTCCTCTCTTTCAGAATGTTACTTACTTTCTTCAGCTGCTGCAGGGAGGAGAAAAGCTGAACACATTGTGCAAAGTTAGCATAGCTGAAAAATGTGCAACAAATGAACACACTGCAGATTATTTTTGACTGTGAGATAGTAAATGTGAAGACATGTACTGGGATAGAAGCCTGAGCCAGACCTCTGGGAGATTCTTTTTAAGGTCGTGTATTAATATAAATTTAGGAACAACATTTGAACAGTTTGGAATGCTCCAAAAGAAAAACCTCTGAAATGTATAATGTGGCCACAAAACCAGCTCAGTGCACAAGCTTTACAGACAGTCCTCATTAATCATTTTTTTAAGAGTTGGGATGTCAGCCATGTCATTATCAGTGCTTATTGTTTGCAGTACTAGCCTTGTTTTATTTCTGCACAAAATGTTAGTGAGACACCCGAACATTACCATAGGGGCCTGAGACTTCATTATTAGAAAGGGGAGCACAGTTTGCTGAATGTTCACAGTGAGTGTGTTTGCTCATCTAGTTGCATACTTCAGTGTGGTGCAACACTACCACTAGGGGTTTTTTTAATATTTAGTGTGTAGTATTTGGTTTTGCACTGGATCCCCGTCAGTGTGGTGCAACACTACCACTAGGGTTTTTTTTAATATTTAGTGTGTGGTATTTGGTTTTGCACTGGATCCCCTGTAACTGCATACCTTGAGCAGCAGGCAGTGTACAGTGAGGTATGTGCCATTGGATCAGCATACCTGTACTCAACCATTTGATCGACAATTCTTTTGAATACCTTGTTTCACTACATGTGGTCTGACGCATACTAAGGTTGGTAATTGCAGTCTTGATTGTCACTTTAGGAGTGTGTGCTCTGGTGTGTTACAGCAGGCATATTTGCCAGCAAAGAGGCTTCATTTCCTGGTAAATCCATATTGACTGGAGAGGTTCAGTGTAGTCCCATGAGTCTGGGATGCTTTGAAGTACTAAACTCTTTAAATAAGTGATTCCTAAAACTTCTAGGTCCATATACAGCAAACTGTTAGTAGTTCACTCAGCTGCACGTCCTTCCAGAAGAAGCATTCAGCTCTTGGGTAGAAGCTTCTATCACACTTCAGAAACACCTGCCTCGGGAAGCATTCAGCTCTTGGGTAGAAGCTTGTATCACACTTCAGGAACACCTGCCTCAATATATGTCCCCTGGATCTCTGCCTGTCTCAGGAGAGACCAGGTGGCAGCAATACTACAACATACACTCGGAATTAAACCATAAGCTGTGTCATTTTAATTACATGTTTCCAATAATGCAGTTTAATTCATTGTTGTGGATCGAGAAGCAGTGAAACTCTGGAATGTAAACTTCTGTTTAAGACAAATTGTAGCACAAAAGGACAGAACAGGATCCTTTTTGTTGTCTTTGTATGGAAGATTTTGCAAGTGTTACCATAGCATGTAACAGAGATGTAACTGAAGATTGTGATCAGAGAATCATAGAATTTTAGGGGTTGGAGTAGACCTTACAGATCATCTAGTCCCAACCCCCTGCCATGTGCAGCGACACCTCCCCACTAGACCAGGTTGCTCAAGACCTCATCCATCCTGGCTTTGAACACTGCCAGGGTTGGGGCAGACACCACTTCCATGAGCAACCTGTTCCAGTGTCTCATTACCCTCACAGTAAAAAACCTTTTTCTAATATCTAATCTAAATTTCCCCTCCTTCAGTTTGAACCCATTACTCCTTGTCCTATCATTGCAGTTCCTAACAAAGAGTCCCTCTCTGGCTCCCTTGTAGCCCTTTCAGATATTAAAAAGTTGCTATGAGGTCTCCATGCAACCTTCTCTTCTCCAATCTGAACAGCCTCAACTTCCTCAGTCTGTCTTAATAGAGGAGATGCTCCAGTTCTCTTACCAACTTTGTGACCTCCTCTGGACTTGCTCCAACAGTTCCATGTCTTCTTACATTAAAGGCACCAGAACGGCATGGAGTATTCCAGGTGGGATCTCACAAGGGCAGAGTAGAGGGGGAGAATCCCCTCCTTTGACCTGCTGCCACACTCCTTTTGATGCAGCCCAGGATTCAATTGGCTTTCTGGGCTGCGAGTGCACACACTGATGGCTCATGGTGAGCCTCTCATCCATTGTCACTCCCAAGTCTT